ATGTTCTTGAGGCCACTTGTCGGATCTGAATCGGATCCTCGCACGGAAAAGTAGAGATCGAGTTCAGTGCAAAATCCAAGTACTACTGCGGTGTCACGGAGGCGCACTTTGTGCTCGTGAAGACATCGTCGATTTCTCCATGAGTTGTGCTATCACGAGACCATTGTGTCTATCAATGGGTTTCTCTTCTCGCAAAATGATTTATCATGGAAGAGGCGTATTTGGATAGCAATCCTGCAAGACGGGTTGCTCTCCCTTTTCAATTACGTATTAAGAATTTCCTTATCCTAATCTATTGTCCCATGACCCCTCCTATTCTGGAACTGAAGTCACAAGAATATTCAGAACGGCTCTTTGTCGCAGATTGTCTCCTTATTTGTTTCCAGCCGATTATAAAAAGCATTCAGTTCGTTCTCACCAACTCCACAGGTGAGTAACAGATGATAATACCGACATTGTGACGCATACATTAGACAAGAACAACGACCTTAGGAGGTGGTAGGATTTCAGAAGTCATGACTTCATGAGAAACACGTGAGGCTGTTACAATGCCAACACCGTTAACATTTCGTAGCGGGTTTTTTTTTCACGATTAACAAAGCCCTGCCACACAATTGGCAGACGTCAGTCTCCTTGCTTTTCGTCTTTTGTAAGGTGATTACACGGAGTTTGATCCAACAAGTGGTATCAAAACGGAGAAGAATGCTGCAGAACTTTGCTGCTACCATCTCCATAAAGTGGAGTGGAGAGGTGGAACTAATCTTAATTTCGTTCGTCATGATTGATGTAGCAACACTATTTATGCGTAAGTCCCTTGGCAGTTTTTCACACTGCCTCTCTGTTAGCTAAATCAACAGCTTTTCTGCTTTTATCCAAGGAACACCTCCTGCACCGTAATAATCCTTGCAGCTGAAGTTCACTAATAGCCGTTATAGGTGTGCTGCAATAATATTACGGTTCAGTTTTCTTTTCACGAGTGACTGCTTAGTGATGATGGAGATGCAGTCCAAACTGTTTGGGAAACTGAGGCGACTTCGGCACAAGTTTAAAGATTTTCGAAAAGCAGCTTGTAATCCTGGATCTGCCTTTCCTTATTCTGCTAGTCACATGAGGGAATTTCATTGAGAGGCTTTTCGTTAGATACTAGTTTTGCTTTTCTTCTTGAGTGATAATCAGAGTGGATTTCGAGCTTATGAATGAATCGAATGTTTGCCTGGAGAATGCACTCATCAGATCTTCGAGAATTGTCATGTGTCACTGTCAAAAATTTCCGTTCCTGTGTTCATTCTGATTTACTCTTGGTAATCTGGTATTAAAGTCCCTAAGAACAAATTTAAGTTGTTTATCTACTGATCATTTTACCTAATTGATTCCAGAACGCACCTAATTATTGCTTGTCAGCTGCACCAGTAGGTGAACAGCAATTGGTTATAAGAAGTGGAAGGATCTCGTATGTAAAAACAAAGTCTACGCCACCTATGTCAACCCTTATGTTTTTTGTCTCTTGTAAGTTGATAGCATTAAATTTTATGGAACAGAAATATTAAAAAAACGTAAAGGTTGCTGGGCGAGGAAACTGTTGTACTCTAAATGCAGAATAGTTTGAATAGTGAAATAGTTTCCATAATATGTCTTGGGTGTGTTGGTTTATAGTGGATCCGTTCATCACTACCATTGTGAGAAGATTCAATTCAACAGTAAATTGGAAGAAATCCTATCTCTGGCCAATAAGAAAAATTCACTTCAGGAACGTTTTGAATGTAATTCCACCTATGAAGAAATTAGAAAGAAATTGTTCGAGAAGAGAACTGAAGCGATCATAGTGCAATACACTTATCACTGCTGACAATGAATCATTTTCCAAAGATTTCATGAAGAATTAGAGGATTTATGGTACAAGCAGAAAAACAATGTGGAAGTATTCGTAACCTTTACGAATATAATATTCCGCTAACAGTTCTGATGAAAAAAGATGGCATCACTACCGCATCCTACCATGACATGAAATGCTAACGGAAAAGTTCCAAACTATTCGTAACGGGCCATCAAAATGTATGTATTAAAGAAATGGCCAATAACTGGAGTTAACAGAACAAATGGCTCGCCAAAAACGTCATTAATTTATTAAGTTTAACTACAGCCAACAACTAAAAGATGAATATAAACATCTCACCTCGCCTGTGTATGCACCGAGAAAAGTTCCTTTTGAAATAAATTGTGGAGTGTAGACACACCATCCTTTTACTGTTGTGTACAATACAACAAGTGGAACCTTCCTCCGTCTCTGTGATGGCATAAACAACAGAAACAAAACTCACAGATGAATTAAGCTTAACCAACAATAAATTCCTTACATCTAATGCTCACGACTCGACAACAATATAAGGTCGATTTAGCTAACAAATAATTCCTTATATATAATATCCAAAACTTCGACTGAAGGATTCTCGAACTTGAGCAATCCATTGAGCGTTTTAAAAAATTAAACATTGCTGCACCTCTGCTAATCTACTTGGACAGTCGAGGCTACAAGGGCACGTAGTCCCACATCCTACCGTTGCAGCCTCTGCAAGTTTTTCCACATCGACCTTTCCGCTACTACGGACTCGAATACGACCTTCACCCATTACCTGACAAAGTCACAATTTAAACACAACGACAAATCTAGTTCTACGACAACCACCAACAGTTTAATGATAAGTGAAGTTCTTGACAACCTACGGAACTGACAGGTGTAGAACAGATTTTGAACTACGAACCTAACGATGTGATTTTTTAAAAAATGTTATTTCAACTTCAAACTTATTTAAACACCAACGATCAACTGCGAGAGTAGTATTCTGCTGTGTCAAAAGTGTTGGTCGTTCAATCACATCGATATTCGAAATACGATGCTCGAAGAAAAACATCGGAGAAAAGCTATTACCTGTATCACCTGTAACCCCATTGATCGTCCAGTGACTCGAGCGACCGCCAGTAAATCTTCCTTTTTTCCCTGGTGCGTACAAGAGTAGCCTAGTGGGTTGTGATTGCTCTAGGGACTCATTGAGCATCACAGGTTTTTCGTGAAGAACTCTGACCATCGGGTCGGTGGTCTTCCTGCAGTGCGTTTGACATCCCGAGGAAACCAGTCACTAGCGCCTCTTGCCCATCGGTTCTCGTTCATACGCATTACGTGTCCGGGCCAACCTATCTTCTACTGTTTGGCGTACAGAACAGCATATTTGATTTTTGACAGTTGACGCAGGCCGGAGCTTCGGATCCCAACTCTTACATGTGTGAAACGGGATAGTTATAGCATCGCTCTTTCGACTGCGCGTTCAATAACGCTGAATGCTCTTTCATCGTACTCACGCAGCGACTAGGTTTCTGAAGCATACGTTAAGGAAGCAGCTTCCCAAGCCGCTAGCACCTTCTGCTCAGCACTGGAGCTAAGTCGTTCATCATTTTGATTTCCCGACATAGACAGACGTAACTGTAGCATTCAGAGATATTCGTTCCGTTGAGCGAGAATGGGGCATACGATATCAACCCGTTCCTCATGAATATCGTATTTGTGAGAATTATTCGAAGACTTTCCAGAGGCCATATGAAAAACGGCAACCATTTGTTCCACAAGCCTAATATTCGGAGTTATAAGAACGATATCACCAGCAAAGCGACAGTGTAATTGTCCACCATCGATTTTCACTCCCATTTCATCCCACTCCAATGTTCCCATGACGTTCTCGATGTTGTGGTAGGGAGGTGGTAAGCAATTTTGGGAAAATGATATCGCTTTGTCTAACCCCGCTTTTGAAGTCGACGTTGATGTCATTGTAGAATGATGATATCATGGTTGTAAAATTTTTGCACAACTCACGAAGAATATATATTGAGTAGGGACTACCTGACTATCAAGCACTTCCATTACCGCTTCTATCTCAATTAAATCGAAAACCTTCTTTAACTCGATAAAATTGAGACAGAGCGGTCTTTTCTACTCTCGTGATGCTTCAACGAGTCTTGTTATCGTGCAGATTTGGTTCATCGTAATAAATCCTTTTCCAAACCCTGCTTGCTCACATGGCTGTTCCTAGCCCAGTGTTCTGCCAAACCTGTTAAAGATTACTCGAGTGAAAAGTTTGTAGATGACAGTCAATACGCAGATTGGTCGATAGTTGCCAACATCGTTGAGATCACTCTTCCTGAACATTAGAACGGTTTTGCTGGTCTTCCACTGAGTAGGGACTCTACCTCCAGACAGGAAACGTGAGAAGAGCCGAGCCAATGTGCTTACGAGGACTGCCAGAAGGTTCTACAGGTGTTCGGATTGCAGACCTTGTGCTGTTCGATTTTTCACCGACGAAATGACATGTCGAATTTTGGAAGTACCGGTGGTATAACATACTTGCCTTGTTTCACTTCATATGAGGGCACGAGGCGTGGCTGCTGAAGAGATCTGAGTATTTGTTAATGATTTTTTTCAATGCCTTTTTGAACGCTGTAACTTTTCCGTCTGGGCCTTGAAGTGCAATCATTGTGGTCTTGTAATTGACGAAGCTTTGGTGAGCTTTGCGAATGCTTTTCCCGGCTTCTGTAGCTTCGACCGTAATTGCTGGTCTTCTTTCTTTGAGACATTCCTTTATCGCCTGTTTGTACTGTTTCGTAAGTTTGGCCGTAAGTTAGTGGTTCACTGCAGTTCCTGTGATTCCACAATGGCGTACTAGCCTCAGTGTCTGGAGACATAAGTCTCGTCGAAATTTTCGAAATTTCAGCTTTCGTAGCGCTAACGTGGAGATGTTGAACAAAGAATGCGATGGTCTAGAATATTGGGACGACACCGGCACCGGTTAATCAAAACCGCATTACAACTATGTGGTCTATTTCGTTATGAAACTCTCCATTGGGAGACTCCCACGTCGAGCGTTGATGGCGGGGCTTTTGGAATTGCGAGTTACCACGTATTGTCTTGGTCGCCATGATAAACTCAGATAGCCACTCATCCTGTTCGTTCCATTCTAATTCATAGACCCCAATGTGACGTTCTTCAGACGTTCATCTTGGTCCAAACTTGGCGTTGAAATCTCCAGAGATGACCTTGAAGAATGTGTGGTCTTCTCCGTAGAACTTCTCCAAGTCCATATAGAACGCTTTGACTTCTTCTTCGTCATAGTTTTGATGTCGGCGCGTAAACGACGAAGATTGTCAAAGCTGGAATTGATCCGTCTTTTTAATCGTAAACGTCCGATTCGGATTGTAAGTTGTTCGAATGAATCGATGTTCATGGACAAACTCGCACTGACGACACCGACTCCTCTACTGTCGCATGTTCCGAGGAACAGTTCTTCTCCTGTGTCATACACGACATTGAATGGGTGGCGTCTTCTGGTTTCGACCAGGCCGATGACGTCGTGCCTTATCCTTCTTGCCTGCACGAGCAAAACTTCTATCGAAAACTCGGATGCAAATGTGCGTGCATTGTAGGTACAGATCGTCACCTTAGTTCTTTGCGGATTAGGCAGCTTACAATGGCTTTAAGATCTTGGCAGCCTTTTCGGGCTCGGCTTACACAAGGATGCCAAATAGGGGGCTCTTTCGTGATTAGGGAAATGAAGTCCGTTTCTTCTAATGTTTTTGGCTTTTTGATACTTACGTATAACTTACCGGGCACTGAACGGGGGGCTGGGTATACTTATGGGTAGCTTACCAGTCTCTTCCAAAGTGAACGTGGAGCTTATTTGTTGGAGGCGACTCCTAACTGCCTCTCATATACTTCTCTTTCATTTGATTGCAGGCTTTTGGCCGAATTGACTCTTAGAATACAATCCGCATAAACTAGAACGCACCCACAGACGCACGCATGAATACGCCTCGCAAATACAGAAATTATGTGCCAAATTGCAGTAGAAACAGGGTGTCCATCTTCTGGATCCGCCTGCATCTCAGGGAAACAAGTCGTTTTTGTTCTGCTATTAACTCCTATACGCCACCTGAGGACGCATCACATAACCTAGCGATTAACCGGCTCGAGATCTCTCATACGAGGGAGAACCGCGGTGAGAAAAACTATGAAAAACAAACAATTAGACCCAAAGAAGAATTTCAAGTTACAAAGCTCACAACGAGTTCAAATACTTATTTAAATTTTAGAGGTGCAACTAATATAACTAGGTGAAATCAACGCTTATTGCCCTGAATATTTCACAAATAGCAAAATGACGTGGGAAACTGACATTGAAGGCTTATACTATTTTTGATAAACAATGCCAAAACCAAGGCACGAAAAGCTGGGTGATTATACAAACCGTACAACACAAAGGCGGTCGATGGTTCCACTATTCAGCGAGCCATCCAGACCTCCTTGGTGCGGATACTGGCGTCCGATTCGTGCGATGAAATCTTCCTCTGATTTAAAAACGGCAGCGACTGCCTGTAGTAAGGTTTGGGGTCGCTCAAGTAGAGTCATCGCAGTACTCTGCGAAGAATCGGACCAGCATTCAACAACATTCTCGATGAGAATAAAGTCTCCAAGCACCAACCAGAGCCTTGCACAAACCCAAAGACTTCCATGGATAATCGATGGCAGATAATAAACTGAATGAAGGATGGGTTGGGATCCGTATGTCGAGTTGCTTAAGGGATCAATAATCGCCATGAATAGCATGTTTATATATATATATATATATATATATATATATATATATATATATATATATATACAAACATATACATGTATGAAAATGTTCGATAGACGTCCCAAATTGATTGAATATCAACAATCAGATACATCGCGTCAGCGGCAAGGAATTTTGAAATTGACTTCACCGAGATGACATCAAAGACATTAAGATACAACAAAGGTTAAGAAACACCACTTCTTCTTTTGAAAGGATATATAGAGAATGATTTTTCTCAAAGAATGTTACGAAAGAACTTTAATAAATAGACAAAAACATTCACGAGTAAGTGCGATAGACCTCTACATCGTCACAAAATCAGAGATTTTAATGTTTTTGATTAGGTAGAATTGGTGTAAAAGCAAACCTTGATGCACGTACATGACGTTGTGCATTGACCGCCTTTGCAATCACAGCCAGCAGCATTCTCAGGATAATCTAATCGCAATGCAAGACCGATTGCATTCGCTTCACAGTAGTTTGCGAATGACATGGTGCATCTTAGCAAATACTAAAACATCACGAATAACAGGTCTTCGTGTGAACAACTAAAATCTGAGTTTGAAATGTAGCATTTAAACGCGGCACAAACAACATCAGTGAAATGCTAATGAAGGATTAAGTTTTGGTTTAACCGCCGCGGCACTCGTGATAGTGAACAAACTCATCCAATATGTTTTCCTTATAAACTGTAATATATGGAGAACGACAAAGCTAAAATAAAAGGATGAAGCTCTTGGCGTTGATCAATCCCTAATGGATCCGCCATGCACACGACTTCACTAAGCATCATTAGAGATAACTGAATGCATACGCGCTCTTTGCAACGACCTACCGATCGCCTACAGACGTTTCGAGTCAGTGCTGCTATGCACTTAGACAGGTTTCGTACAAATTTCCCGACCCAAAAGGGGTGGAAGACTTGGTGAACAGGGGCGCGGGAATCAATTCTACGTGTATTTCAGAGTTTCCTATGATCGCTGCGCCACACGCCTCAAAGAACAACAAACCTGTACCAATGATGTGACAGGAACGCTACCGCATAATTGTGAAAGCGAAAAAAAAACTGCGTCAAGTAATAGAACAAAACTCGTTTACAATAATGCTTAAATTTGTTAAAGAAATATTGGAAGACAGGCCACAAAACCAATAAATATCAATATCAAAAAGTGGTAGGGAAATGAATTTCTCATATTGGCGTTTCCAAAAATATACACATTAACCAGGCACCTTTATACTTCGTAAAAATGATGAAAACTAGAGATAAAATATAGATGATAGTCTAGAATTTCCATGAACAACCATTCAGATGGGATATGTATTTCTCTCGACCTGCTAGAGAGCGGTAGGGGTCGTTCTATCATAAAAATGCTTTCGTCTAGTTAATTCGGCTTTGTTTGGGAAGTTTCATTTACAGGAGTAACTTTTGTGCAATTCGGCCGTAATGGTGGTAGCAGTTCCTGCGCGAGGACAACAACTGGAATATGGGAAACCTCAGAGAGGTTAAACCTTGGCCTTAATTAACCAAGTTTGAAGTGGCCGATTCACCTTGTCAACAGCTGCTGAACCTCTTTTAGATTTCCCATAACCCAGTTGTTCCACTTGCGTAGAATCCACTACCACCACTACGGCCGAATCGGGCAAAAGTGACTCGTGTAAATTACAATTCCCAAACAAAACCGACTTTATCTGACTAAAGCATTTGTATGATAAAACGACCTCCATTACTATTTCTTCAGTAGTAGCAAGTCGAGAGAAGCACACAATGGATGCGTCGCATACAAGGTTTGAGAAGCAGAAGCGATCGAATTACAGCAGGTATGAGCGAACATCAGGGATACATTGAAGATTAAACTGTGATCAGCATTAACTTAACAACCATCGAAACTAATCAACCACAACAAGTTCTGTGACAGGATAGATAGTTACTTCACAAATTGTCCTCTATGTTATGATTTCGTTCTCGAATGTAATCCACATCGTCACCGAGCACTTTGAATTCAACCGCTCTTGAAATGAGTGGCTCATAGCAGGCAATGAGCTGGGCAAGATAATATTTTCTTCGCCAAAAGTAATTATGCCTTAGGCGCCCTTGATGAGGTTCCTTCTTGTTTCTATTATGATTTGTTTTAATGTAATCGTTTTAGGCTATATTGTCTACCAACAGGGTGACATGGAATGTACTTCCATACCTTAATATCAATAGTGGCGCACTCATCTTCCGTCCAGTTCTCGAAATAAACTGGAGCAATGCCCAGTTCTTCGAGTTCATCGTTTATGGAATCTTCTGTCATCCGTAAATGAACTCTGTGATAATTCTACAAAAACTATATTTAGATGTACTAAAGCAAACTTTGAAGACCATTCGAGACATGATGAGAGAAAACAATTATGTAACCAATGTCACCAACGGTATAGTCGTGACGCTTGGCAAACATTGGAAACAATTCCTGAAATCTGCGCTCATCATTTCCCTGCATGCACAGAGCCATTTGCGATAGCAATTGTTCACGTCTGTCCGCGGCCAGAAGCTGTAAGATAAATAACTGATAAAACCTACGAAAGAAAAGAGAACACATAAGGCATAAAAAAGGCTAGTCCTCTTACCTTCTTACTACAATTGTTGAAACAATGTGGAGCTAAAATCGAAAAATCATTCCATGGCCAGTCCTTCCAGATAACAGTGTACTTCTTGTTTATCGATCGCTTCTTGGAAACAAAAACATTAAGACATTGGTAACGACACCTAATTTCAAGTCGATCCCACTATGATTCATATGTACGTCAAGCCCACTTACAAATTTACCACTCCTATCGTAGTGCATGTTTCCCTTCAAAAACCGGCCCTTTTGAGTACTTTATGTCATATTTGGCGTTTCCATTATCCTGTATATCCTTCAGTGACATTAGGACATGAAAAATATGCACAATGTATATAAAAAGCTGGTTCACATCCAGCCACATTGTCGTTAACCTTGGAAAGGCTTCTCAAGATGTGCGAATCATATTTCGGTGATACGGTCTTTATATTTAGCGATCAAAGACGAAGATGCATTAATCAGTGCCCAATGTCGTAGACACTTTCTATCCATAATATAATTATACCCACCACAAGAACTGCAGCAAGAACAACGCATAATTGTTTGGAAGGTCAATACACACCGGTCTTTGTAATACAACGAGAAACGTTGGGCTGACGGCCGGATTTAAAAGCTTTCGAATCAAACCGTTTTAGCTCACAATTCAAGATTCGATAAAATAGGCTCCATAAAACATCTCCCGCCAAATCTATCAAAAGAAATTGATGCTTTACAGACCTGAAAAACGATGAAATCTTCGTGTCCTCTGGAGGTATGACAGCAACCAGCAGATATATAGCAAGCAAAACACATGCGTTATCGAAGATAACGCACAGAAAGTGGAGATACACGAATTAAAGAGACACGTCCGTTTGAGATTTATTCAACTAGACAAATTGCAAGTGCCTAAACCCTCGAATAGCCACGTACTTCAATGTGGCGGTTAATAGTCACAGAAAATGGATACGTTACGCTATTCATCTGTTGTGAGAAGTTATGTAGCCATTATTACGCAAATTCTGCTGGAATACATGTCAAGCAGGTCAGAACTTGATGCAGCTAACACAACATATATTTTTCTACGCTGTTTCATTATGGCTACCAAAAGTGTAGAGGCTACGAATTGCAGAAAGAAAATTGTACATAAGAATAGTGTCACAGAATGTTTCACCTTGCTAATCATCTCATAGTTCAATAGCTACCAATAAGTTTTATTCGTCTCTACGGCGAACAACGGCTAACCCGCAATCCACGTACGATTTTAAATCAATTCCTATTGTCCATTAAGTGTAGAATTATAGCCATCCAAAATTTCCCAAAGCAAGCAAGTTACTAGTAAATACTTTCACATTTTTGATCCCTAAGAATCCTCAGCTCCGAAAACTATTTCTTCTTATGTCTGCAATGGGTCGTCTTTATCACAACTAGATCTCTAATAACAGCCCAAAACCTCTCACAAAAGCGTAAATGCTTCGTGCATCCAGACAGCCGTTGGTCTAGTCCAGAATGAATGTCGTCAAACCCCAAAATGTTATGCGGCAACATAGTGCTTAACTATTCATCGCCGACACCACCACTACCACCATCGTGCTATTTGGCTCATTTATTATCGGAAAACTCCTCGAAGAAAGACAGGAAAACAGATCAAAATTGTCCTCAGTGCTCCCAGCTTCTCCATCGGTAGGTTTCGATGGAAAATAAAACTCAGTTCGTCTTCCGTTGACACAACTTGATGGCAGAAAATGTGATTTTCAACCAGAAATCGACTCTCCCTTTCCTTTTAACACCTATGATGAATCACGAATATTGCACATAATCGAAAATGCTATATATATACATATACATATATATATATGTGTATATACATATACCTGTATATAGATATGTACATACGTATATGTACACTTTAAGTATATATATGTATACATATATAGTACTGAAATATAATTATTGGCGCAATCGAATACCGATGATTCACCGTCCAACGGTAGATGGTGTGCTACCTTTTAATCACAACGAAGCTAAAAACGAGGAAAACCCCATAACACCGAGGATAAGCAGAAAATGGGAAAAGAGCAAAATGTAAGGTGTGCAGTGTTTTTTTTGCGGTATATGAAATTTAGCAGTGGTGGATTTCCTACAAACCATAGTGCATACGACAAAAAACTAGGTGCTGCCTCGCTCGGCTATCAAAGATTAGAAAATCTTCGCATTGCTGTCAAATTCGAATAGATTGTGGGAGTGCTGTTTTCAAAAAGGAACCTACATTTCGTACAAGACGAGATCCCAATATCAAAGCAACTTCCCAAAGCTGTTCGGAGGAATCATCTTTCGCTTTCGGTTGACCTTAAAGAAATGTAAAAAATATCTAACCACAACGTGAAATTAGAACAGGTATATCTGACACCCCCAGAGAACACTTCTAGATTTTCATAATTTGCAGTGTAGACCTTTGCTTACCTGCAGAACATAATGAGAAATTACACCAACGGAATTTGAAGTACTAATGATTAAAGGAGGTGTTCAATTAAATATCCATATCAAGCATGTCTTCTTTATGTTTGACTTTACTTCTCACATTGGTCTAATTCTTGAGCTTCGCTAGAATCTTGTTCCTCACTCTTGTTCACAGGATGTGCAGTCCACAGTGGCGAATTGTACAGGCCTGGAAGGTTTTCAGAAAAATAAAACTTGACAAGTATGTTCCATAATATGTAAAACTAACGGTCAATTTGGGCTTCCGTTAATCCCAAAGCCAATAAGGCTTCCTGAAAACGAAACCTAGAGACGGCATAGAGCAAAGAGGCTTGCAGTTCATTTACCACGTTTGAGTCTTGTTTTTTTATGTTGTTGAATTGTTTTCGAGGTTTCCCGTTAACTGGCATTAGCGATGGTCGAGCTTGTGGAGCTTTGGTTACTAAAAAGACATGACGTTCCGATTCTACCTGGAATGTTCACTAGTCACCGTTAAGAGCAATTTGGAGTCTGCATGGATCTTTGAGCAGCAAAAACACTCATAACTGACCCACTGTGTAATGTGAGAATAGAAAAACGAGTGTAAAAATCACAAAAATTGTAATCGTAACCTGTTTCATATTTATGGGCGAAAACGTTCTCTTTATCTTCGTCCAGCGAACCTCCACCCTAAGCAGTTTTTGAATAACAGAGAAAATAAGGTCAAAGTAATTGAAGGGAAATAAAAAGCAACTAAATTGATTTAAATAGGTAAAACCAATCATTTGGGCAATTAAAATCATCTATAACAGAAACGACTAAGAAAACTAAACAAACACATTGTCGAGATACGAAAAGGATAAAATTTAGCTCACCATCTCAAATATTTGTTCCATTCGGGTCCTTTCTTTTTCTAAAGCTCGCAAGGTTCTCCGATGGACTGGATTAATGCGGCAACTGATATCGTCCGGCTCCAAGAACTCATCGGGATCTCAAATTGAGATGCAATATACAAACGAAATGAGATAAAGAAAACTTCGTTATTATGCTACATTCACAAGTACTCAAAGCACGATGTCATACCATATGGCAAAGGACGGATTTCCCCGTTCTTTCTAACGACAATACGACGGAAATTCAACAAGGCGGTATTGACTATAAGGGGAAGTTCGGGGAATATAATGTCCGCTCTGAAATGGTCAAAATATTTTTAAGTAAAACACAAACAATTTATAAAGACATCCCTGCAAGTATAAATATAAATACAAATATATATATACATATATATACTGTTGAAACGTTTTTTTTTCCTAATTTTTTCCAATTGTCACCAGTCACAAACATACCTTCCGTATAATCAGGTCAACTAAAGAGTTCACAACAGCAATACGTCGAAAAATAAAAATTTCTAAGACCATTATCGTCTCAACCGACGTAGAACTAACGCTCCTGTTAGGATGTTTCTCTACTTAACATATGCATGAGGATGCTTAATTTTATGCGGCCATCCCATAGGACGACTGCTAATTATTCTTCGCTCGCAGTAAGAGTCACAGGCAACTCATGCAAGCCATCGTGTCCTCTTTGAAACTGATCAAGGTTCATTTATAGCAGTTCTGTTCCAAAATTTGGTTATTTTGAATTCTGCGTTGGTAATAGTACGTGTTCTTCAAAATTTCCAGCGCACTTCCCCATGCCAAGATATCTAATTGTTGTGTGTTGTCAAAACATGAACCTTCTACTCATTCGAATTCTCCGAGGAGACCCGAGGACAGTCTGGTCAAAGTCTGCCCCAGGTCATCACCAATACAGGCAGTCGCCACCCTTGTGGATCATGGAAAGATTTGCCTCCATGCGACGAGTTTGATATCAGCACGATGGTGGATCCTGTTATTGGCTTACTCTTAGCTAGGCTTTCTGATGGAAACGACGGACTTCTGCTCAGCTTGGGAGATCCTACCGGGGGATGAATCCTCTCGCTGTACGTCACAGCTCGATACCTATGATCATTTCCCAGCCACAATGAGGCGCTAAACTATTGGGAGATTCGCTTCACACACTAACGTCAAGAATTTGAAAAATAGGAGTATTTGACCATTGACCAGCCTATGCCCATCAACTCGGTGTGCGTCAAGTGGGCCTCAAACAATGTGTCATGGCTGCGAAGAACATCCGTATGTAAGCAGTCGGATTTTGCGCGGAAACGGCGATAAGTTCCTTTGTAGAATATGAATACCGCTACGTATATACATCATTTCCCTGTGTCCAAAATTGTATCGTATTCATTCGATACATCGAACTACAAGAAAAGAAATTGATATGTATAGGTTTCATCCAGTAATTATTTTTACACACATGTATCAGGAGCTCTCCCATTGGTCATCGAATGACTTGAAGGTGACAATAAGGTCTCCTCGTCCTTTTCGAGTTACAGAGTTCCCTAGTGGATTCTGTTACCCAAGAGTCACGAAGGAGACCATGCCTGTTGTTCAGGAGCGTTCGCGAAGACATCTGGGCATGCGGGCAGCCATTCTACTGCTTCTGCTCATCGAATTATTTCCAGGAAACGGTTTCTATTTGTCTATATGGGCTATACGATTTCCTCGTAACTTCCTGCCAACTCATTGCATTCAAAGCAAAAAGTTTCCTTGTTAACTAAAAAATGGGCACTCTTAAAGAAAGACGGACTGCCGGAAACTTCAAGCGAGATTGGTCTCAGCGCGAAATGCGCTTCTTTCCAGCCGCTGAAGGCGGAATGTGGTTCTTTCCAGCTGCTGAAGCATATAACACATTACGTTTAGATGCGAACTATCCATCCACTACGGATTCAACATAAGATTTTAGGGGAGGACGCACGAAGCTCAAAAAGACTGTAATAATGTGACTCCTAATAGAAACAGAAATGTATCCTTGTTCATATATGGGTCACGGGAGCGTGTGGCGCAGTGGCCCGAGGTGCCCTGCAACAGACACGTGGGATCAATCCCGCATCCATGGCCCACCAAGCCTTCCATCCCTCCGGGGTCGGCAAATTGGTACCATACTTGTCTGGGAGGATAGCAGCACTGGCTCGATATATCGATAGGTTACCGCGAGTCGTTGTAAAGGTAAGATATGCATTCAATCACCTCCAAACGATACTTAATGAAGTCGAATGCATGGCGCATCCCTCAGGGATTGATCAGCGCTGAAAGCTTTACCCTTTATCCTTTTACCCAGGAACACCTCGCAGCCATAATGAGGCGTTAGACCGTTAGGAGAGAAAAATAAGAAGTTCATTTAATTCTAAAACACCCAGATGGAACAATCGCATTATTTCTTTGCAGTTCCAGCGTAGTGTGAAACTATGCGAATAAAAACTGTTGGTCCAATTGTTGAATAGCGTTTTTACATGGAGTAATCTTATCGGTGGACAGTGTTCTTATTTCTCAAAATTATTCTCGAGAAAGCAAAGCGAATAATCAAAGTTCAGTAGTCAGTGAGACAAAATAGAGAACATCAATATTCGACAGTAGTGCGAAAACAGATAGCGACAAGATTACGCAAACTTACAAAAAAATATGATTGAAAAAACCTTAATAAATATATATAACTGGAGGAATAACAGCGCTCTACTGCAGATTTTATCTAAAGTCCTTAGTAGCGTGAGGAAAATGGTAACAGAAACATTTCTTCCGAAAATGGATGCCACAGAATAAAAAAGTCATTACGTTTGCTTGACTATGAAAAGGTATTCTTACTTCAAGTTCAGTTCCAGCTCCTGTAGTCCTTCAGGTCCCACCTCGTTTGATCGCATTTCCTCCCGATAAGATCTGCTCTGGACACAAATAATCAATTACGAACTAACATATTTACAAAATCATTGCCACAAAGATTGTTTATCCTTACATGACGTTTGTTAGTATGGTAATGAGATAGCGAACCTTGTTTTAGCAACTCACAATTGCAAATAAAAGGATAAAGGATAAAGCTCTCGGCGTTGATCAATCCCTGAGGGATGCGCCATGCATTCGACTTCAATAAGTATCGTTGGAGGTGATTGAATGCATATCTTGCCTTTACAATTACTCGCGGTGGCCTACTGATGTATCGAGCCAGTGCTGCTATCCTCCCAGACTTGTCCGGTGCCAACCACGGAGGAATGGAAGGCTTGCGCTGGAAACGATTCCACGTGTGTGGCGTCTCCAACCACTGCGCCACACGCACCACAATTTGAACGGTATCCTAACTAGACTCATTCGGTGATGAGAACATGAATTAAAAGCAACGATCTCTTCCCAAATCAGCATTACATTTGAAAACAAAATTATTCAACAAAATAACAGCGAAACTTGTGCTGCAGCCAGCCCTATCTGTTGAAATGTTCCTTGGCGCTATCAAACTAGCGAGATGAGTTGTCGTTAGTTGAATTCTTAGATTCTGTGCGGCATTGCTGAACCCACTTTGTGAAAAACGGTAGTTAACGATCATTTTCGATGAGCTAAGGCCAAAATTGTAAAAATTTATGGTGCAATCACCACCTTAAAGGGTGAACCACTTGACGGTGGTGAAATAATAACACATTTGCCTTGCGTTTAACTTCATCCATTATCCAAGATGTGAATTTATGCATATTTGGCCTATACAATGATCTGCCAACGAGTTCATGAAGAATGGATTGGTCTCATGTGTCTCATGTGCGACATTCACGCTTAACGGTATGACTATCTCCGAATGCTCCAGCTACGTCTATCTGCGTCGGTAAATCAACTTGATTAACGACTTATCTCCAGTCCAGAGTCGAACAGGAAGAGGCGCGCGACTTGAGAAGCTTCAAAGAACATCGACGATGTAGTGAGGAGAACAAAGAACACCTAACTCCGTGCCCACATTTTCGACTCCCCGATTGTCTGCCTTAACGTATGCGTCAGAAAGCTCGTCGCTACGCAAACAGACCACTCAGCGTTACAGAAGCAGAAGTCGAAAGGACGACGCTAGGAGTATCTCGTATCATTCAGGTTAGGAAAGGGATCCGAAGCTGCGATCTACATCAACGATAGAAAATCAAATACGCCGCTCTATATGACAAAGCGTCAAGAATGTACGTGGAGTGGGACGTGAACGTAATGCTTGTGAGCGACAAGCGATAGAAAAGAGCCCTTAGTGACCGACTTCCACGGGATGTTGAACGAACTCTAGTAAAACTACTGACTCAATGATCAGAGTTCTTCACGAGAACCCTAGAAGAAAAATATGACGCAGAACGAGTCCCTAGAGCGAGCAGAAGCCACTGGACCACCCTTGCAAGAGACCGTGAGAAGTAGAAGATTTACTGGCGCGCTCTCGAGTAACTCGACAACCAACGAGACGACAAATGATACAGGCGATAAATGATGAGTGGTGTTCTCGTTCTATCTTCGCATCAAACTAATCTTTAGCTCTCCTAGATAAGTCTAGTACCAATTTTCAGTGCACAAAAGAACGGAAGGCTCGACGACCCTTGGGCCCGGGACCACATGCGCGAACCCATCATGTACTTCAGAATATCCGTAACCATTGCACTACACGAGCACTCAGCAATAAATATAACAGTTAGGTCGACAAATTAACGAATTCCATTTCTGATCTATTACGAACACACATTCGGCTAATGCGTTGTGATGATGGCTCTACTGACCTCAGACCAGCCAATGCGAGACAAAGTGTGTCGATGACGTTGTTCGTCGACAGATGGACAACCGTCGGCTAAAACTGACCTATAACAGACGTGCCCCAATAGCGCGGTTCTTCGAATGAATACGAGCAATTTTTCGTCGACTCCTGACTTTCTACTTCTTTGACAACTTACAACAAAAAATTTCTTAATAACCAGAGTTCTTTAGCGGCTGTCACATGAGAGAATTGTAGAAGAGACACTGCTCTATAGTTCTACGGGTATGAATGCTACGAAGGCTAGTATTTACCATGTGTTAATATGGACCACTATGGAAATACATCGGTTCCAGTACTTGTGAGTATTCCACATTCTATGCTGGATCTACCTCGGAGTTTTTTTACACGAACATTCCGTACCACAGTCACAGTGATTAAAATGATATCACAGCTGATTGCTAGTCAAAACACCAAAAAACATTTTCGAAAAGAGCTTTTTGTGAAAGCTTGCGTGCATAGTGGCTTTTGTGGTGTCACCAACCCTATTTTTATAGGCGTTCCACCAGCTGGAGAGGGCGTAATACATATGTAGTACATATATGTACATATATTTATATATATGTATATATATATGTATAGTCTGTGGTTCCCTGGAGTCCCGAGGGCAACCTAGCCAAAGTCTGCCCTAGGTTATCACCACTATAGGCAGTCGCCGCCTTTGTGGATAAGAAGGAAATTTGCCACCACGCGACTAGTTCCATAGCAGAACGGTGGTGCATCCTGGTATTGTTTTACTTCTGTCTATGTTTCTTCATGGAAACGCCGGACTACTTCTTAGCTTGAGAGACCCGGCCTGAGGGACGGATCCCCCGGTGTACATAGCAGTCCGACACCCAGGAGCACCTCCCAGTCACGATGAGGTGGTAAACCATTAGGAGGCATATATATATATATATATATGCACATGTATATATATGTGTGTAGACGACATGATGTAAGCGTATACACGTAAAAATAGAACATATATGAACAATATACGTACATATACTGTATAACTGAAAGCATATTCCACACTATTCACCATTTCCCACTGGCAATGACTTCAGCTTGACATCTGTTAAACTCAATCACTTTGTGGTTACCGTCTCAGTTGAAGCCGTAATGTGAATAACCACTAAGTTTAGTAAAAACGTGGCATGTAGCGCTGTGGTCGGAGGCACCTTGCAACACACACGTGGAATTGACCCCAGCGCCCAAGGCTCACAAAGCCTTCTAACCCTCCGAAGTCGGCAAACTGTTACCAGACTTGCCTGGCAGGGTAGCAATACTGGCTCAATACATCGCTAGGCCACCGTCATTGTAAAAGCCAGATATGCATTCAATCCACCCACAGCGATGCTTAATGAAGTCGAACGCATGGCGCATCCCTCAAGGATTGACGAGCACCGTGAGCGTTATCGTTTTAACCCTTGACTAGGTTTAAAATAGAGAATTAGAGAGGCGAATGTTCTGAGGCACACCTTGCAGTTAAATACGGGCTAAGGATTGAGGGTACGACAATGTAACAAAAAATAACAAACGGAAAAGTTTGAAAGAATAGGACGGATCTTAGATTTCAGAGCAAAACTGCGAATAAAACAATCAACAACAAAGATGGTCGGTTGGGCGGGACACGCCAAAACATTCGAAGCGCCACGCCTTAGCGCCGCGTGAACATCCGCCGCGAAAAAGTGCGCGAAAAGGAATTAGAGCATGCTATGTGCCACGAGGGACTACCAACATTTGAAATCATTACATTGTTCATTATATCGGATTCGAGACGATCAGATCCAATAGTAGAGCAGGTGTATTTTTCTAGGTTACTCGGAATCGCTTTGCTGGGATTCCATAGAACAACGTCCTTCATTTGCTTCATTAACTCGAATATTTTCTCTGGAGGAGAAAGAGAGACCACAGTTCTGGAATGGTTGAATAGGGCTCGTGTTGCGCAGCGGTAGGAGGCGCCTTGCCACATATGGGATCTGCGCCCTGGCCCGCTAAGCCCTCCATCCCTCCGGAGTGGATAAATTAGTATCGCTCTTGTCTAGGAGGATATTAGCATTGGTTCTTTACATTAGTAGGCCACTACGAGTCGTTCTAAGGGCCAAATATGCATTCAGTCAACTCCAAAAGATGCTCAATGAAGTAGAATACATGGCGCATCCCTCAGAGATTGATCAACCCCAAGAGCTTCACTCTTTTACTTAGCTAACAAGAATTATTATAAGATATACGTGGAGCTGAGGTTTCGGCGATTTAGCTGTCTTCACAACCAGGTTAATCCGAGTCGACTGTACACAGCCGTTCGTCCTGGCATCGAGTCGATTCCTCTGCAAAGGAGCACCTCTCAAATAAAAATAGAACTGTGGAGAAATAAAAGATGTGCTTCAACAATCTTTCCAACATTGTGCTTTAGCAGTTTCGATGTGGTGGCACAGACTTGTGTACCTTTCGTTTCCTTAATAGCTGCTGCAAGTTATCACTACTCGATTTATTGTTGTTCTTTTCTATTGCTCTCTCGTATAAGAGATTCTCAAGGATCATGCTGGATTTAAGCAGTCATTTCCTTCACCCGAAAAATGCCCCCGGCACTGGAGCATTAGTTAGGACGAGTATGGAAGGGCTGCTAAAATCTCTGAGCTATTCTAGGTTGTGTTAACGACAAAATGTCGAGAATAAGGTGCGCCGTACAAATAATGCGTATGAACGAAAACGGATGGACCAGAACCGTTAGCTACTGGATTCCTCGGGATATAAAACGTACTGCTGGAAGACTAGCAACCCCAAAGTCTGAATTCTTCAGGAGGGCCACAGAAGAAAAATTTGGTGCTCAATGAGTCTCTGGATAGAGCTGAACCTATTGAGCTACTCTGGCACACGACAGGGAAAAGTGGAAGACTTAATAGCTCCCAGGATCGACTTTCTATTAACCTCGGCATTGGAATATGAATGCATCGTTTTCTTGTTCAGCAATCGCGAGGTTTTTAAACAGCATAAATTTACTTCCATAGAAAAACACAATACAATACACTCTTGAGTCATCAACCATATGCGACTATAATCAGCTGTTCGAAACTTCTTCATTGGAAGTCACGTAAAAAGCGGCTCTGAAGAAGGCGATACTGC